GCTGGACGGGATTTGGATCACCCTGGTACAGTGGGAAGTTATCCCTGCCCATGGCAGCAGTGTTGGAACTGGATAAGCTTAAAAGTTCTGACCCAAAGCATTCTGAGATTTTCGTGCTGCTTCGGGGTGTCCCCACCCCCTGTGGGTAACAGTGACCACTACGAGCTCTCACTATCATTTATAAACCATCAGAGGTTAGCAAATAAAAATCTCAACCAGAGACTCAAAAGGAGCAGAATTTGCCATGACAAATTATCCCAGAGTCTGATGGTATTTAATGACTGCCGTGTAGAGCCACTCCACACAAAGAGCTTGGTCCCCCTGAGTGAGGCGCGGTGCCAGAGCGAGGAGCACTCGCCACAGCCCTGGACAAGCCCTGGACAAGCCCTGGACAAGCCCTGGACAAGCCCTGGACAAGCACCTCTGGAGGGCAATTCGCTCCCCCAACAGGGTCTGTCAGGCAGAATAATACCAGCTGTGCTTCCTGGCTGGAACCTCTGCAGCACAGGCTGCAGATTACATCGGAATTGCCAAACCTAGGATAAACAAAAAGATTAAGAGGGCCTCACCCTTTGTGTTGAACAATCGAACTCTGAAGCAAGAAATTCCAGCCCACGTCATGGGCAGGCACCAGGCTGAGCCTGGGTTTGGGTGACTGGGGCAGAGTAAGCAGCTCACTCACACATCTGGGGAAACCACAGATGCTCTTAATCACAGGTTTCCCTGACCTGTAGGCACTGACAAATTGCATCCTATGGATGAACCTTTTATTAAACCACAGAGGGTTTCCAAACAATATTCTCTTTTTCAGCATTCCCAAGTCATTGAAATCCAGCACACGTGACCCTTCTTAATTCTTCATTTAGAGGGTGATGCAGCGCTTTCCAAAGAGATTTCAGTGCTGAAAGGGGTCGTGATGTTGCGTCGGTGGAAGACAGCTCAAAAGCTGAAGCAGGGGCTATGAGAACTGACATTTTTGAATTCTTTGATGATGTCTCAGCCTCACTGGAGCTGAGGATGCTTTTTGTCCTGAGTGATGCCCAATGCCAGCCCCTTGCTGTCTGCTGTGGCAGAAACATCTCACGAAATACGCAGCCTTTAAATCTTACTGGTTTTTCTCTGTGCATGGGGAAGAATGACTAGTGCTTTAAAATGAATAAGATGACTGTTGCTCAGTCCAGGAAAGGTGACCACAAAGCAAAGTTGCCCTGGTTCCAGTTCCATGCCACGCTGGAGCAGGAGATAGCTGCTCGGCTCACAAGTGAGTGAGAAAGATGATGCCTGGCAGTTCTCATCATCGTCTGGACCGACAGAGCTACCCACATAAAAGGAAGAAAAAGCCTGCTGATCAGATTGGTGTGACAGAGGCTCATGAGAGACATGCACATTTTCAATCTCAACGACAGCTTGAGGGATCTATATTACTAATTATCGACTAATATTGCCAGAGTTCCCAGGCTGGCTTCAAAGGTTTCACAAAGTGCCCCAAGTACAGGGTTTCCATCTCATCACAAGGCTTTTTTCTTTGTCCCTGCTAAATGGATTGCTCCATCCTGGGCTCCCTCTGTGTAAATCAGCTTGCACATGATGAGCTTTGCAGCAGTGAAATTCATTACCTTAACCACAAAAAACCAGAAACATTTGCTGCAACTGTTAGAATGCTTTTGCACCTAATTTCAAAAAAAAAAAAAAAAAAAGGTGGTTTCCTCTCTTCCTCCCCCCTCCTCCCCGCCTACTCCTAATCCCATGCTAACACCTCTGTAAAGGCTGGGGTGAGTAGTTTGGAAACTGAAAGAGCAGGGAAGGGGGGGCAAAAAAAGTAGAAAAATATATCAGATCTCCAGACAATGAAATTGAGCAGCTATCTCTCACATCCTGCAGTGCTCAGGCTGAGGTCATAAGTTAAACAGGACATCAGAATAGGTGATGTAATTTGCTTATTTAGGATCAGAGCACTCAGTGAAGTGCAAGAGACAACCTATTTGAATGTGCAGATAATCCCCCCATCAACGTGGGGCTGTTCAGATGCACAAACTGCAGCTGGAGCCTGGGATTTCTCTTCCCCGCACATTTATTTTTGCAGGGGATATAATTGCAATCATTTTTCCTAGCAGGAAACCCTTGAAACCTCACCTGGGATCAGCCTCCTGTTGCGTTAGGTATTGTTTAAGTGGGGTCCCTGCCCCGGCCAGCTCAAAGGCTACAGGGTCAAGTCAAAGAGAGGGTGGGAAAGGAAAGGGAGGCCCAGGGGAGGAGGGGGTGGCACAGCAGCTCCACAGGACCCGGAGCCCCAGCCCGCTCCTCCCTCGTACCCCAGCGAAGCCTCAGACCCAGACCTGAGCCGAGCAGCAGCTACACCTCTGAGTGAAGGCCAGCCCAGCTCTCCTGCAGATGAACAGACCCTCCAAAGCCAGCTGCAGAGCCTCACACCAGCTCCCCCACTGCAGTGACCACGCTGGAGCCCAGCACAGGTGGGAGCAAAAGTGCTGAGCAGCCCCTGGATGACACTCCCTGTGCACTGCTGCTCCAGGTCACACAGAGGTAGCACTATTGGCCATTGTTTTAACAGGAGAAACAGCAGTGTTTTGGCAGGGTTACAAAGCAAGCCCATTCTTTACATCTGCAAAAGAGAGCCCGTCCATCCCTGCTGAGGGAGCTGACAGAGGAAACATGTTTTCCAGCAGTCTTGGGTACAACACTGAATCAGGACCTATTTTTACCACGTGCTCTGCACTACACACATTAATTGTTAGGACAACGTTTGCTGCCATATTCCCTTGCAGTCATTTCCAGAACAGAAGCTCAGGAGACAAAGCAAGCCCCGAGTCCATGGACAGAGGGGGCAGGCAGGATGCCACATTGCTGCCTGTGACACACAGCCAGGGCTGAGGGCACACAGAACCCATCCCGTGCAGGTAGCTCAGCCCAGCTCATGGATCACCACTGCCCATCCTCCTCCTCCTCCTCCTCCTCCTCCTGCCTGTGTGCCCACCGTGCTCCCCAGTGCCAAAACTCTGTCACCCCTCAGCAAAGCGCTGCAGAGCTCAGAGCTGGGAGCCCCAGGGCCTGTGACCCAGCCCTGGAGCAGCACAGACAGGCCGGCAAGCACAGCTCAGCAGTTTCGGGATCCGGCCTCCATCCTAATTAAGCCCAATTAGGTTTGCAAAGAATGAGGATGTTTTAGGAAGGACGTACAAAAGAACTGCTGAGGTCTCTGTAGGCCACAGAGGCCCAGGGCACCCTCCTAAAGCAGAAATCGCCACTCTTGATGTGGGCTGTCAGTTTTCTGCAGTGCTGGAGGATGCTCCCGCTCCCTGCGCTGCCCACAGCTCCCCTCGCACACAGCCCTGGCAAATGCAGCTGGGAGAGCTGGGAATCTCCTCCAGAGCATCACAGCACGTCAGCCAAACCTGGGCTGGCTGCAGAGACGGCTGAGCAAAATCAGCTCCAGAACGGCAAGGCCTTAAATGAAGGTAAACACGATTCACAACAGGGAGAGGTTTGACAAATCAGCATCTCCCCAAGCTGAGGGGTATAAAACATGCAGCTGCTCCACCACCACAATTTACAGGGAAGGCATTTCTCCTGGAAGTAAGAGAACACTTAGTATATATTCCTAGCCAGATTGATTACCCCTATTTATATTGTAAACTAAGACAGCATGTACTAAACCCATGGAGTTAACCAGTTCCAGATCCCAGATCCTGGGTGAGGGGTCAGTTTTCCATCATCTGCTGCACAGTCTTGTGCATTTATTAGGGAGGACAGAGTTTCCTCATGGTTTTGTGTGTGTGTGCTTATTTTTGTGGTATTTCAACAACCATCAGGAGGAACACTGCTATTTTATGAGATGTCAGGGAATCAGAGAATCCACGAGGTTTTTTTAAAGGTTTGTTTTAAACAGCCAAGAAGCCAGCTTGCCACTATAAATATATGTATGTATAACAACTGCAATCTGTTCTGGGACAATAAAACCACAGGACTGAAGGCTGTATCCCATAGCTGAATATATCCATTTATCCTGCAGTAACATGAACCCCTGTTCTGTGGATCCGACCTGCAGGGAGTTTCAGTCTCCTCTCACAGCCAACCTGCCCAGCTGGACAACTCTCATTTGCTCTGTGAGTTACAGATCCAGTTTCAACATCTGACAGCAGATATAAACAGAGGTGCAGGACACGCTGTCTGGTGTGTCTGCTCCTACACCACTTGTGCAATTCCACTGGGCCAAGAGACCCCAGATCTGCACCATGAGGCACTGAGCCAGACTCACCAGCTTGTTTATCCCTAAGAAAAAGCTGATTTTCTAACCAACTTGCTTCTTTTTCTCTCTTTGAAACACTGATAAGGTGAGAGATGTTGAAGTTCCCTGTTGGTTTATATTGCAGTTTGGGAAGGGATAGGTTTCGGCGTGTTGCTCTAACAAATACAAGAGTGAAATTGGAAGAGATGGTGATTTGAGCTAACACAATTAAAATTTATTCTTAACAGTAATCTACAGATACCCAGTGCCAAACATAATCTGGAGTAATCAACTAGCATGGACATGAATTAACCTAATAGCTTCTGAAAAAAAAAAAAAAGAAGTCCTATGAAAAAATCCTCCTATTAAAGTAATTAAGTGTTAACAGAATCATAGAGCCATAATTAAACATGGTTTATAATTAAAACAGCATGTGTCCTAGACAGAGAACACAGCAACAAAGAGAGTCTAACCATGACAATTCATGCCAAAACACATGCCAAGTACCAAAAATCAGAAAAACTGGCGAGTTTCTAGCAAAGCTGCAGATGCAGAGCCTCTGATCCTCTGACTGAACCCCAGCACTGTGACGGATGTGACTGCTCTCAGAACTTCTCACGGCTTTGCCAGGTGCTGCCAAGGTTCAAGCAGAGTTCTTGGGAACCAAGGAGACCCCAAGTGCAAGGCCCAGAGCGGCGAGGCAGCGCAGGGAGCGCTGAGCGAGCGGGAGCCGGGGCTCCAGCCAGCCCCGTCCTACCTGACAGCGGCTGAAGATGTCACCCAGGGACACCTGCACGTTGAAGTGCTTCAGCACCTGCAGCGCCTGTTCCTTTGCCTTCTCGGAGCAGTTGACAGAGAAACACCTTCCTTCTCCCACCTGGGAGCGCAGCTGCAAACCAGAGACACCAGTGAGGCTCAGCGTCAGGGCACGTGTTCTGATACTCTTGGTCTGAACTCTCAATGATGCTTGGACTTAGTGTGTGTTTACAGTCTGAATTCTGAGCACCACAGCTGGTAACCTACTGCTGCAAAAGCTCTGACTCCGAAGCACTGCATGATTTTATGTGTATGAAACATGATGTAGGCTGGGGAAAGGGAGGCTCAGGGGGGAACTTCTCACTCTCTACAACTCCCTGACAGGAGAGTGATTTCAGGGAACATTTCTTCACAGAAAGGTGGTCAGGCATTGAACGAGTTGCCTGAGGAGGTGTTGGAATCATCTCTGAAAGTGTTCAAGAGTCGTCTGGATGTGGCACTTGGAGACGTGGTTTAGTGGGGACCACTGTGGTGGCACTGGATTACCAGCTGGACTTGAGGTCTTTTCCAACCTTAACAATTCCATGATTCTGTTCTATAGAATACACCCAAGTCCCATCAACTCATGATTTGGTGAGGTGGTGCTGACAGGGGCAGCAGAAGGGAACTGAATTCAGTCCCAGCTTGCTGCTGAAACTTGGCCAGATCCCACAGAGTGTGCCAAAGCACAGTGATGGAAACAATGTCCAGTGACCACTTCTACCCCTCTGATTCACACAAACATTTCACCTGGAGTTCCCTGATGGACAAGGGGATGTTGAATGAAACCCCTGATGAAGGGGTTGATGTGAGCAGTCCCTTGGTGTTTGTTCCACACTCTGCAGAGCAGTCTGTATCTGGGAATGAGCACTGGGAAGTCCCAGACACATCTGCACTTCCATGCTAAGGACTCACAGGAGTTGACTCAGCTACACACCAGTGATGGAGCCTGGCAGAGCCATCCCGTCCTTGTGGAGCATCCAAGGGCAAGGGAACTGAGGGAACCAGACATTTCCCAGGAGTATTGTACCTTGGAAGCAGTTGTTTTCCTTTTGCAATTCCTACACAGTTCTTTGAAGTTGGAGCTCAGCCAAACATGATGATGCTGGATGTTGAATTCCCTATTCCACCGGCTGTAGGCTCAAGGAGCCTGCAGGGTGGCTGCACCTGCCTCACAGTGTCTCATTATGGGGGGAGTTTTATTCCACACTCAGACTTTCCATAGGAAATCAGCAACCCCTACTCTGCAAATATTCTGACCTGCTGCCTGAGTAGCTGGGAGATTTTATGCTGACAGTTTGTGACAAAGAAGTCCTGCACCCCAGCTCATGTGAACAGAGCTCTGGCTCATCCAGAACGGTTTCACTCTTCCAAATGGATTTTTGGGCAGTAAAAATCTGCGAAGGAGCTGCAGCAGGACATGACAGCATTGCAAGCAGTGACTTGGCAGGTTCAGCACTGCATTTTGAAGCGTGTCTGTGAACAGCTCTGAACAGCTGGTGCTGAGGGCAAGGCTGGGCTCTGCTTTGGCTTTTCTGTTTATCTACAGCAACACAAAACCTCTCCAGCTTTCACCAGACCCATGCTTGGGGCCTTCCAATCTCTCCCTTCCAAGCCTGAAGAAATGTCCCTGAGGGCTGAAACTCTCTCAGAGTGGAGCCAGCCAGCAAGCAAGAATCTCTGGGATAAAAAGCACAGGAATTGAGCTGCCTTTCACCTGCCAGTGGGGCCAGACAGAAACACACTGTTCTGCACTGCTTGCCTTGACTTCCACCCCCGTCCCCATGGAGAGCAATCGATCTCTCCACTGATGCAGGAATGAGAACAAGTATAAAACAGCATTTCACCCTGAGCCTTGGTGGTTGAAAACAGCAAACCTCTGCAGACCCTAACTGTAGCATTTAGTGGAGAAAACATGAAAAAGCCAAGCCAGCTGTTGCATTCACATCTGGCTTTTCCTCTTGTCCCCCTGCACACCCCAGAGCACGCGATGGACACGGCAGCAGCTCGGAGCACTCACAGTCTGATATGGGAGTCCAGAGGTCAGAATGACTCTTCCTTCCTGTCGGGCAATCTGGAAAATACAGTAAAAGTCCAAATGAACAGGGGCTGAAGTTACACTGAGTTCAAGCTTTATTTGCAGTCACAGAAGAAAGAAGGTGAACTGGACATATTGAGTGTTTCTCTCAGTGTCAGTCCACACCTGGCCAAGAGTTCCTGACAGCAACAGCAGCTCAAGGCTCACCCCTTGTCCCCTCCCTGTCAATCCCTGCTTCATCTCCCATGTGCTGGAGCAAGGTGCTGGTGCACCTGTACCACAGATGGCCCAGGGAACCATTCCACCTTGAAACAATCCTATCCAAAAGCAATCCTTTCTTTTTTTCCCTTAACCCAGACTATTTCTGTTTCCCCAATCTGGGTCACAAAGAAGGAAACAGTTCTGCTGCACAGGGGAAAAAAGAAAAAAAACCTAAGCAGGTTATTCCAGAATAAAAATGTTCCATGAAATGTGTCTGCAAACTTCATACCCTTAACAAAAAGTGCTCCTTAGAGAAGGAGGGTGTTATTGTCCTAGCAACCCAACACAGGAATTATGCACCTCTCTAGGCTGTAGGGAACATGTGCCTTGGAGTTTATCACCTCCTGACCTGCAATCCTGAGCTTTTGTCAGGGGTCTGGTCCTTCAAGTGTCTGTGTTGAGTTATCAGGGAACTCATCACCTGCCCTGCTGACCTTCACACGGGGCTGGGGACTCTGCAGAGGGGTCGGTGCCAAAGGGAGACACCAAATCTGGAGCTGCAAGGGTGGAAGTGTGACTGAGTCTCCTTCACATGATTGAATGACACTCCTCCCTCCACCCCTCGCCCTCCTGGAGGAGGGACAGAGCCTCATGGCTGCAGCAGCAGGAGGATTCCCAAGGATTCCCATGTGAACCAGGACTCAGCTCTGATCCTGCTGACAAGAGATCAGTGCTTTGAAGCAGGCATGACGTTATTCCTCTCCTCTGGCTTGGATTCTGTTGGAAGCCCTGATGTTTTTCACTGACTCCAGATGTGTGTCATGGAGGTCTCTCATCTGGCTCAGAGTGCAGCAGCTCTCTCTAGATCCCTCTCTACCCTTGGCAGGAAGAAACATTTGGGATCAGAGTCCTGCTGCACTTCCCAGAGAGACACCAGTGAGCACAGCCAGGGAACACCAGAGAGACCAAGCATGACTTTTAAACTCTGTCTTGGGCAGTCATTCTCACAGGACTCACTGGACCTGTGGCAGCACAAAACAAGGGGGAGGAGGCTCTGAAGGCCCTGTGCAGGCAGTAAAACAACCTGTTTTTTCCCTTTTTCCCTCTTCCTCAGCTTTCAGGTATCTGCTTCCCTCCTTTAGTTGTGAAGTCACTCTTTGGCTGAAAGTTCTGCACTGAAAAAGCGATTGGCAACAACTTCTAAAGCATCTTTCTACAGGCAAAATTACTGGTTTTCTTTCAAAATCAACCCCCTCTCTCAATAAAGGAAAAACCTCTAAGAACCTCTGCCTTCAAGGGGCAGCACAGACACCCCATGCAGTCCTGCTGCTGAGCAGTCACCACAGCACCTTGTGGCACGTTACTGAGGCAAGTCTGGTACGGCAAAAAAAGTCTGGTAAGGAAAAAGGTCACCACAGGGATTTGCTGACAAGGGAAAAGGGATGTGAAATTCCTCCAGACCCATGTTTGCTTCAGGGTAAATCTGAGGATTTCACAGCTGGAACACTCCATTCTGATTTTCTGCATCCAGGGTTAATTAGTTCAAGCTTGATAAATCCCCTTATCTAAATGGCTCTGCAGAGACAGGCAAAGAACATCAAATAAAAAGGGGAAAAGCAGTAACTCTTCCAACATGTTTTTCTGCCCCTGGAACAATGACTGGGAGAAGCACAAGGAGCCAGAAAGGCCATGTGATACCACACATCTGACAGACCACAGAGGGTATGTACTGGAGAAAAGGGCACAATTCCTTCTTTTCCTCCAAAAGCAACAAGGGAAGGCAGCACTGGGGGGATGTGTGGTCAGGCATGCAAAAGAGAGGAAAAGAACACCCAGGACAGCATTTTGGCTTTGGTGTCAGGGACCTGTGCTCCAGCCCAAGTGCTGCAGAGAGGGCATTGGCCTCAGTTTCACAATCTATTACAAAGATAATATCAACTTCCTTAGGAAAAGGCTCAGACCTTCTGGGTAGAAAGCACTCCCTAAGCTGTTGGAATTACTGATCAGCCCTTAACGTGCCTGTCTGTTCAGCCAGCTTCCATCCTGCAGAAATGAATGAATCCACAGGTGCTGCTGTCAGAGAGACCTGGAGGGGCAATGACTGAGGACAGAGGGCAGAGAGAGCCCCTGTGTTTCCAAGCCAGCACCAGCAGCAGGACGATTCGTGACAACCTAAAGCATCCTGGACCAATGCCAAAGGAGGTTCCAAAAAACAGCAGCACAAGGCTGTGGATTTGTAAATTAAACTTGGCTAAGTCTGTGCAAGACACGTGTTGGGCAATGCCACGTGTCCTTGAAGAGCCAAACTGCAGTCCAGGAAAAGCTGTGTCCCCTGGAAGGGATCCTGAGCCTGGGCCCTGCTTCAGACTGAAAGGGAGTGGACAGAAAGTGTCTGCCCAGGATATGTGCTGGAAAGAACCCAGACAAGGATCTGCTAGAGAAGGGGATCACAAAACCTAGTCCAAACCCAGAGCCCCTCCCTGCAATCCCAGGCACTTTGAAAAGAGACAGCAAACCAAGAGTTTAACAGCTCTGAGCACTCTCAGTCCAGCCCTCCCAGTATTGCAACCCTCAACTTCTCTTCAGCATTCCTGAAAAGTATAAATCACACAGAGCTATCACATGGTTCCAGTTTTATTTCCCTGTGCAGACCCATCTGTATCCAGGTTTCCAATGAAAGACCTTCCCCTCCTGCTGACCAAACATCAAAAGCCAACTCTTGATCTTAAAAGCAACACAGGTCTTCATCTGTCCTCTGTGAATTTAGATCCCCACCAGACTGAAAAGATCAGCAAACCTGGAGAATGTCATCTACATCAAAAATATGGAAAAATCCAGTCAAAGCTGAGACAAGATCCGAGATTAGATTCCCCCATTAGATGAAGAACTGCTCACTGCAGGATTAAAATCCCCTTTGTGTCACCTGGCTCCAATTCAGTCGAGGGCAATTTAGATCTGGGTGCTCTGTCTGGCTCCTGAGATCCATCCAGCCTGGCCCTCCTCTGTGGCTTGCTGGTTCACCTGCAGGTTTAGAGGGTAGGTGTAACCTTGCAAGGGAACCTTCCATGGCATGGGAGCCTCAGGAAGCCAGTTTTACCTGCCTTCTGGTTATTAGAATACTTCAAAAGATACCAGGTTTGCCTGAGCATCAGATTATCCTTAGAGATGAGGATGATTTTAAAGACCAAGAGCAAAGTCCATTAACAAAATTAAGTAAACCAACCCAGAACTCAACTGAAGCAGCTTTGAGATTCTACTGCATCTCTTATTAGAAATCTAAGAGACTACCAGCATTTTCTTAAAAACTTTTGCTCTACCCCTGAGGTACAGCACTGCAGGACCTACTGCAGCCACTCAGGCTGCTGGGTCATCCTGTAAGGTTAACTGAGAAGGATCCCACTGCTTTGTGGGGAAAATAGGAACATCCACTTTTCCATCTCTTTCCAATTGTCTGGAAAACTCCAAAGATAGGCTTAAGATTCTCTGCAAGAGAAGTTTGCAGAAGACAAGATGGAATCATAGAATAGTTTGGTTTAGAAGGGATCTTTAAAATGTCATCTTGTTCCAACTCCCCTGCAGCGAGCAGGGACATCTTCAGCTGGGTCAGGCTCCTCAGACAATGAGCAACACTAAAGCTGTGCACTCTTAGGTGTTCCTAGTGACACCAGTTTGACACTGGTGTGTGCTGGGACAACACCCAAACTGTCTTGTACTCAGGATCCAAACCCTCTGCTGGCCTTTGCAATAACATTTCCAAGCTTTTGGGCTTAGGGTGCTCAACATTCAGCTTTGATTCAATCAGGACCAGCCAGATATAAAACAGGGTGGGAGGAGTTTATTTTTATCTTTGATTATCCAAGCCCAGATCAAAGGCTCTGCAATCCAGTAACACTCCAAGGGCTTTTGATAGTGAAAGGATGTTTGTCTGGTCACCATAGAGAAAGCAATGTCAAACATCCTGTCCGTGGCACGATAAGGGATGGGGATGAGAAGTGGAGATGGGGCTCTGGGGGGAGGCACTGAGAACCAGCTTGTTTAAATAACTTGTGCAAGTTTGGCAGGGAGGAGATATTAATTATTTCTGCAGAAGTTAGAGCCTGCCCCACATTCAGGCCGAGCAGACATCTGAAGAGGAAACATCCTGCACACCAGGCTGGCTGATCCACACACATTTGATAGCACACACTGTGTGGGCTGGATATCTCTGTTGACTCCCTCAGAGGGAGGGAGGCTCTGCGGGGAGACCTGGACAATTTAGAGAACTTGGCAATTACCAACCATGTGAAGTTCTACAAGGGAAAATGCCAGATTCTGCACTTGGGATGGGGCAGCCCTAGATATACAAACAGACTGGAACATGAGATGCTGGAGAGCAGCGCCACAGGAGGGGACCTGGGGGTCCTGGTTGACAGGAATGTGAGTCAGCAGTGCCCTGGAGCTAGGAGGGACATCTGTGTCCTGGGGGCATCAGGCCCAGCGTCACCAGCTGGTCAAGGGAGGGGATTGTCCTGCTCTGCTCTGGCCTGGGGTGGCCTCACCTCAAGCCCTGAGGGCAATTTTGGGCACCACAATTATGCAAGATACTGAAGAGTGTCCAAAGGAAGGCAATAAAGATGGTGAAGGGCCTTCAGGGGAAGCTGTATGAGAAGTGGTTGAGACTTGATCTGTTCATCTGGAGGAGACTCATCACAGTCTACAACCTCCTCCTGAGGGGAAGAGGAGGGAGACACTGATAGCTTCTCGGTGGTGACCAGGGGCAGGACCTGAGGAAATGACCTGAAGTTGTGTCAGGGCAGAGTTAGTCTGGAGATCTTTGGGGGCTGGAGATGATCTTTAAGGTCTCTTCCAAGCCAAACCAAACCATTCTGTGATTCTGTGATCTTTACCCTCACTTGTGTTCTTCTCATGACTTGAGCTGCCCCAGCTGCCAGTGACACAATCAGACACATGTCAGAGTGAGATCACAGCAGCCTCTGTTCCCCTCCTCTCTCCTGGAAGTGGAGAACCAAGGCCACACACTGGGACCAGCTGATTCCAGCTGCCAGAGCTCGGGGTGACCCAAAGAGCTGGGACTCGGCACAGGGATGGATGGAGGGACCCACAGGGCAGCTCCTGCAGCCTGAGCAGCTTCCTAAAAAGCTCCATCACGTCCTCATGGAGATGGGAGCTGTGGACTCACCTCAGCAGCTTTCCTGTGGTCATCCTCATTGTCCAGCAGCCGGACATCCACGCCCAGGCAGCGCAGGTAGCGCCCCAGCCCCTGCAGCATGTTGTCACAGACCACGCTGAACTCCTGGGGTGAGATGGGGGCAGGGGGGTGTGAGGGCTCCGTTCTGGCTCCTTGGCGTTCCTGGAGAAAGGCAGGAGATCCATGAGGAGCAGAAGGCTGATTCCCAGTACATTTGTTGTTTTCCTCCCTGCATTTGCTCAGCCACCACAGCACATCCAGCCGCCTCCTTCCACCTGTGTCACCACTTCCCCTGCTCTGCAGCACCTCCAGATCCTCCTTCCCATCCCTCCCACACGGCCATCACCACCTGGGCAGGGGCAGGACATGATGGGGCTGATTCTCAATCCACCATTCTCTCCCTGCCCAGCTGGCCCTGCAGCCTTTCCTGGAGAGTGCCAGCCTGGCCTCCAGTGCTCTGCACACACATTCATCTTCAGCAAGTCACAGGAACACAGGCAAGGCTGCTGCTCCCCTAAATTAGTCTGCAATTAAATATGTGCCAAAGCTATGATTTGGGACAGACAGAGGGAGAAACAGGTAGACAAAGCAACCACGTCAACTCTGTTATCTTTGTCAGGTTAAAAATAGGCAGAGACTGAATTCTGTTTGTTTTATTTCAAATGTCTGCTGCTGGGGGAGTTCCTGCACTCGGAGGACTTTGGCTTTGGGAGGCTCCCAGAAGTACAATAGCTAAATTCACGGAGAAGGGAAGTTATTAAGGAACTTTCAATGGCCAGCTTTTGACTCCAGGAACTTGGATCAGCTGGGATGACTGAAGGACACTGCCAGCAGCTCTGCAGGGAGCCAGCACCGCAGATCAGCTCTGCAGGAGCTGGCCCCAAGCTGGGAATGCTGTGGCACACCAGGCAGCTCCACCTGGGCTCTCCACGGGAACCAGCTCAGCTCCAGGAGCAGCACTGGTGTGATGCTGCAGCTCCCAACAGCTGCCTCCTTCACCCTGGGCTGTCAGCAGCTCCTGCAGGGTCCTGCTGGAGGCAGCTGTGACACCAGAGCACGGTGACAAGGGATGGAGCTGTCCCCTGAGGCTGAGGCAGTTGGAGACACTACCCCTGGCTGCTGCTGCTGCTGCTGCCCAAACAGATGTGCAGGAGCTGCAGCTGGCTCTCAGCTCTCAGCCAGTGTTCCTCCAGTGGCCAGCACTGTCATACAGAGCTTTTTTCTCACGTTTCATGCCAGCAGAGAGCAAAAAGCTTATAAAGGAGAACAGAGTCATGAGCCCCACTTCAGAAACACTGGGAAAGAGAGCTTGGAGTCCTGCAGGATGCAGTCAGGAGAGCTCTGCTTTTCTTGGTGTCCCAGTCCAGGTTTTACCAACGGCCTCTCAGCTGATGAATTTGACTGTACAGAACACAGAGATGACCCTTGGGTTTCCAGGGTGATTGAAGCCTGAAGTGCTCACTTTTCCCCCCTCTGCAGCAGCCACCCAGCTCTGCTGTAACACACAACATTCCCATGAGCTGCACAGGGAGCAGCTCTGTGTTTTCCTGCTTGCTGAAGGCCAAGGGATGCTGCACATTTCCACACAGGTGGGCACAGTCAGCAGCACCTCAGCCCAGCCATGGAAGGGGCACTGATTTCAGGAGCTCCACACACACTTGGGGCTCCTCAGGATACACAGACACACACGGTGAGTCTTCTCAGGCAGTAACAAAATGGGATTTGTGCCAAGGTTTCCATAGGTGCACAAACCACTGGATGGTTCCCTTTTAAATGTAAAACTGAGAGGCACCACTCACATTCCAAGATACTTAAGCAGAGTCCCACAGCTCTGGTGGAGTTTTGAGGCTCTGCCACAACACAAACTCCTGGAAGAGGCCTCTCATGGAATGTGGTGGTGGGCAGGGAGGCAGAGACAAGCCTTCAGCAGAAAGGCATTTTTGATGGATCATTTGCTTTTAACTTTGCAGACTTCTTCTCCAGACACAATAAAGGAGATATTCCCAGTGCGAAAGCAAGGTGTGGAGGCTCAGTGAAAAACAAAAGCAAAGAAGGAAGAGTTTTGAAACCTTGGCCACAGAATCCAAACCCAAAATGTGGAAGGAGCATTTCCACGAGCAAGGCTCACAGATCTGCACCCACACTGTGCAAAGAGAAATGAAACTCCAAGTGCAGGGAAAGCTGGAGCCAGGCAGGCCAAGGAGAGAGCAGAGTGTCCCTGGAGGGAGGGGTGAGGAGGATGTTTGCTGCAAGAGTCTGAGAACAGCGGTGCACAGCGAATGGCATCACTGAGAGCAGCAGCGTGCGATTTCCAGGGGTCTTGAGCAACAAGCAGCTCTTTAAAGATGTTTACAAACCTGCCCAGAAGGTGACGGTGCCTCTTGTTTATTCAGCTGCTTCTTTGCCTTGGGTTTTTTGCTCTGTTTTCCCACCAGACTTTCTGCCAGCTGTGAACCCAGACCGAAGCTCTCGGGGTCCTTGCAGAGCCTCTTGTAGATCTCCAGCAAGCAGTAGGCATCTGAGGCTGCAGGGCAGAGAATGTGAGCCTCAACTCATTCTAAAGTAAACCAGAGGCTTTCCTGAGGCAAGGAAGAGCCCCCACCTTTGTAAAAGCCCCTGTGAACAACTGTGAAGCTGCAATCCCTCAGGTCATGCCCTCAGCCCCAGGACTGACTCATCACAGCAGAACCCACAGTCAGGGGGTCAAGGCAGGAGCTCCTGAAGACAGGCTCTGCCATCTCCACTCTAAGCCAATAATCCAATGCAAACTGCAGTGTGGCTCTTCCAACCACCACAGGCAGCTCCAGCCAGCCCCTGCTCCTCAGCACTGCCCACAGTTTCTTATCACACCTCTTGAGGGGAAGGGAAGCTCCCCAGGAGATGTAATACCTGAGCAGGAGATGGAATACCTGAGCAGGAGATGGAATACCTGAGCAGGAGATG